GAGCCCTAACCGCCAAAAATCCCCGAACGTAATTTTTTAATTTATTCTTCATCTTCAGGAACTATTAGCTTTGTCCGGTCGATATAAAAATAAAAGTAAATAAAGCAGAAAAACGTTTAATGTTTTATTTAACATACGGCCTATAGCTCAAAAATAAATTATTAAATTATATTAAACGGCCTATAACCGACACAGTTAGGAGGATTTCTTCATCAAAACGATCAAAACTAAATTTTTTAAGAAAATGTCGCTACCTACTTAAAACACTGTATACACTAAAATTTGTGAATATATAAATATAACACAGCCCCACAAACAAACGTTTGACCTGCAAACGAGACTAGAGATTCTTATAAATCTATTTTTTAGGTTGGAAAGAAAAAACTAGCTATCAGATTTAAACTGCCAAGTCTCGTTCGCGGGCCAAAAAAATAATACACTGTGAGTTGTGTACTGTAAATCATAAAACACTTACCATTGCTCGACGATCGCATGGAGTATCCATGCTGGTAGGAGATCTTACGCAATAGCGCATTATAACTGCGGCCCGGCAATGACACTGAACTGCCCGAAAGCCCACCCGAAGACGACTTGGTCAGGTTCGAGTTACGCAACAACGACACCGATGTTGTCAACGATGAGTTGCTGGCACTATTATCCCCGCCAGCTGCTTTCGGCGACGCCGTCAAAATTTCCAACCCAGTTGATGACTTAGCAGCGTTCACACTTGCTTCCTGCTTGCTGTTGATACGTGGGCTACCACCACCGCCGCTGCCACTGCCACCACTCGCGCCCAACTCCTGATCGGAATCATCAAAAACCAGCGCACGTGCCGAGTAACTTGATTGTGGGCGCATGCGTGCATGTGCGGTGGCGCTCAGGTGACGTTTTGCTACCGGGCTTCCCGTTGAGTTATTAGTTGAGGAAGATTTGTTAAAGCTAGCCGGCGCTGAAATGGAGCTCAAGTTGCGACTGCCCGGCGGATTAAATGTTGTGGCAACGCTATCGTCCGGATTAAAGGCAGCATCTAGCATTTCCCGTAACGAAGCGTTGGGCGCATCACCCATGGCGGCGGCGGACTTACTGCCATCGCTGCCTCCACAGCTAAATTCAGCTGCAGCATCACAACGCTTATGTGGCGTTGAAGTAGAGATTATGCCACTAACGCTGTTGACACTGTCATTGCCGCTGCCGCTGCAGCTAGTGGCTGTTAGGAATGCTGTGGTGTTTGTGTTAGAATTCGTAGTTGTTGCATCACTGCAGGTGGTATGACTGATTGATGATGTTGCAGTAGTTGATACTATTGTTGTATGTGTATTATTGGTGGGGGAGTTAGTGGTGTTGATGGTGGGATGAGTTATGTTTTTGTTGCTTGTACGCGATTTTGGCTCTT